GACATGGTGCGCAAACAAGAGCGGACCTTTATTCGTCTCCATCTTCAATCCTTTAATACTGGTGATCGTCGCACTGGCGAGCTCATTGCTGCTTAGTGAAACTTTGCATCTAGGAAGGTAAATAATATCGAGCACAACCATATACATTATTTTTTGTTATACCAAAAACTATCAACACTGAGACAAATAAACATATAAACTAATTTTTTTGGGCATATTTTTATATTGTGAATGTAGTGTGTTGGGTGGATTTGTGATTATAATCGGATTGTACGTTGTGTTGTGGGGAAAGTCAAGAGATTTGAAGGATGTCAGCTCTGCAGTTCCTCAGCAAGTCTTACCTAAAACTCAGTCAGATACTGTCCAATAATGTATTTCGGGTATATCACGTCGGATTATGTGTTAACGATTCATAGTCTGACACTTCATTTCTATTTTTCATTCATTGGATAAGGCTTTGATAAGAAATTTTAAAAAATAAAACTAAAAAAAAAAGAATGTAAATATATATATATATGACAACCCGTGAAAGGGTTACTCAATTCACGAATAGCCAATGTATGAAAAATAAAGATAAATGTGAGATTCTGAATAGAAGATATATAATTTGACGTGATATCAATGGATCGGAATACCTAACTGTTTTCAATATCTTGTGATACATGCAAGAATAACCAGCAACCATGCTCTGGATCACCAAATTTGCTCCCCAGCAAATTCCTGCAAATCTGCTTATACTCATCAGATTGGTGAGGGTAAAAAAGCTAATGGGATTTAGCAGTTTGTTCACAAATATATGAAATCAAAGATATAGTTTCAATTTCCTGTAGTAAAGGAAAATATGTATAATTAAGCATAGTGTTGTAAATTTGTAATCAAGTTCTGTTCCAATGTTATAAATAATATGTAATAATAATCAATTTCTTGTGACATCAACTATTCCATCAATCTGCAGTCTGCAAATTATCACCCCTCAGCATCCTTGCCCAAGTTGCTGCTTAATGATTGATCGAGAAAATGTGGTAATAGCCAATTTAGTGAGGAAAAATGGAAAGTAAAGAAGTTGATGTTATCTAAGAATCATAACTAATATGATGATTAGTAAGATCATAAACAGAAATGTGCAACATCTTTATTTTGGACACATCAGAAAAGAATGCATTCTGATAATTCATTTGTAAACTCTTTGTCCAATTACTGCCTACTGAACCAGTGTGCGGCAATTCATTTGTAAACTCTAAATCACATTTGGATGATCTTAAGTCATATCTGCACTTTCCTGAGGTCAATGCAGAAAAGGTACAAGTGTTAGCATTGGTTAAATGGGAGCATTAATTATCAACAGCCTGATTCAAAGATGTTAGCAAGCTAAAATCGGCAGATTAAACTAATCCTTTCCTTGACTTAAAAGAGCCCAATCAGAGTGTTATGATCAAAAGCTTACCACTACGTCAAAAAAAGGTACGTATATCTAGTAAAGAAGGCAGCACAACTTTATTTCCTTATACCGTCACACATTCTTTGCTTCCTTCCTTTATCTCCTCCATCTCCATCCAATCCTCATCTTCTCCTCTGCTGGCCCTTCTTCATCATCTGTATACCCATAATAACTTGCATCAATCCTAGAAAAATTTACAAGACATCACATTAGGCCAAAAAACATTAAAACCAAACAAATCACGTTGCTGCATAAGAGAATAATGCAGCCAATGGTAAACATAATGCAGAAATAGCTTTCAATAAAATGCTTTGTGAAAATGAATCGGTTGAGCATCGACTGGGCTTTTTCCTCGTTACGAGCAATGGCTGGTGAATCTGAACTTTGCTAGGGGTTTTAGGACGAGATTTAAACACTAGAGACAGAACAGAATCCATCGTCTTGGAAGGTAATTCACTAATTATGAGATTCAAAGATAGATTTTGAATTGAACAAAATTATCAATTTGATCCTCGACTATTTTTTTGTTCTTAATTAAGTCCTTTAACTTTAAAAATTATATCCTAAGTAACTAATTTAATCCTTTGTTTGCTTAGCGGTTAAATATCTGTTTATTCGGAATCAAATTGATAATTTCGTTATAGTTAATGAATCATTTCGGTAAGAGTTTTTTTTCCCAAAACGGTCCCTCGACTATTGCTCATTCTCAATTTTGCATTTCGACTTTCAATTGCACCAAATTTGGTCCCTTGACTTTCAAAAACTCTCCCAATTTGGTCCTCCGTTAAGTTTTCCGTCAACTCAGTGTTAAAATGGAGGAAATTTTGGTCTGATTACCTATTGTACACCTAATATACACTGAGAAATAGTCAAGGGGCCATTTTGGGAAAAACTTGTTTTTTTTTTTCTTCATTTCATTGTGTATATTTTTATTTTTTAGACTCTATCAAATTAGAATTGTTGTAGATTTTTTTCACAAATATAAATAATTAAAATTTCACAATTCAACCTCAAATTTTTTTAACTTTCTCAATAAATTATTTCCTTCGGTCTAAACATACAAATTTTTCCTCTATTCTTATCAAGTTTTACAATAAATTCTCTAAATTTCATAAATAATCATATATATATATATATATATATATATATATATATATATATAATCATACTAAAAGTTCAATAAACAGTTAATCATTATGTATCACATTAAATATTTTTTTATCGTTGAAAATAATATTTTTAATTTTTGTACATACCTAATAATAAAGTTTCGCTTTCAAATTTAAGTTTATTAATTGAATGGAACTAATATAATGGCCTTGCAAGCTAAATTAAGACAACTTTTCAATAAATATTATCCAATATTTTGTCATGGACCGAGATGTGAAGTGTACTTTTTAGTTATGAGAAGTGCCAGAAGCACCTCTCTAACTGAGAAGTGCGCCATTGGCCTTGTACCAAAAAGTAAACTTACCTTCTGGTCACAGATGAGAAAAACTTACCTTTCGGTCTCATTCCCAATAATTCTTTTTTTTTTTCTCCCTACCAAACAATGTAATTTGAATTCCAAGGTAAGTTTTTCTCGTCTGTGACTGGAAGGTAAGTTTACTTTTTGGGCACAATGCCGATGGCGTACTTCTCAGTCATAGAGATGTTTCTGGCACTTTTCGGAACTAAATAAAATACACTTCACTTCTCGGTCAATGACAAAATGTTGAAAATGATTTTTTGAAAAGTTGGCTTAATTTAACTTGTAAGGCTATTATATTAGTTCCATTCCATTAATAAACTTAAATTTGAAAGTGAAACTTTATTACCAAGGTATGTACAAAAAATAAAAATGTTAGTTTCAACGATAAAAATAATATTTAATATGATACATAATGATTGATTGTCTATTGAACTTTTAGTATGATTATATATATATATATATATATATATATATATATATATATATATAAGATAAAAATAAAACATATATGAGTATTTATGAAATTTACGGAAATTATTGTAAAACTTGATAAGAATAGAGGAAAAATTTGTATGTTTAGACTAGGGCTGTGCAAAAACCGACCCACCTGAAAAACCCGACCCACCTGAACCCTATTAGACGCCATTTGGGGGAATCCGAAACCGAACACGGTTACCCGATCCGACATCACGCACACTAGCCGGTTAGAAGGAAGCGGGTTGGGGGTTATAAAATCCACCCGAACCCGTCCGACAACCCGATTTAGGGTTAGACTTCGTATACCCTAAGGTATACGACATCGTGTAAGCTAAGTATATATGTTGCGTTTTATGGAACCCTAGCCATTTGCGCAGCTTCCTCGTCTTTCTTCTGAGAACTCTCTAGACTCTCATAGTCTCGTTCTCTCGTCTTTCTTCTGTGAAATCTGAAACCCAAGTTTTTACTTCTTTCTTCTCCAGTTCTCTGAGTTCTCTCGTTCTCTCGTTTTCTCTGAGTTTCTTCTAGAGTTGTAGAGTTGCTCAGTTACAGACTGAGAGTGTGAGTCTCCGGTGGAAGCTAATATTGTTCGGTCACTTCGGTGGAAGCCCTATTCTGGACGACCGGTGGCCGGTGCGGTGGATTGTAGATTGCTGGCACAGATTTGAAGCCCTTTGTTCTCGGGGGTTTGATTTGGAGAAACAAAGTAATCTCTAAACCCTAATCTTATACATAATTAGATTATACTCTTATATATTGTGATACGTTGTTGTTAGTTGTGATTCTATGATTCTGATGACTGTGACAATGTCAATCTGTTGAGAAGTTCCGGATTGCATGTCACTTGTCCCTTATTTGTGAATTTTTGATACTTTGATTAGGGTTTCTATGATTTTGATGACTGTGACAATGTCAATCTGTTGAGAAGTTCCAGATTGCATGTCACTTGTCTCTTATTTGTGAATTTTTGATACTTTGATTTGGGTTTCTATGATTATGTGGACTGTGACAATGTCAATTTGTTGAGAAGTTCCAGATTGCATGTCACATGTCCCTTATTTGTGAATTTTTGATACTTTGATTAGGGTTTCTATGATTCCGTGGACTGTGACAATGTCAATCTGTTGAGACTTGTGATTGTATGATTTGTCTGTATTGTTTGTGGAAGCCCCTAACCCCTGTTGGCTGTTGGATGTTGCCTGTGTTGGTGAAAATGGTGGAAGCCCCAATTGTAACTACCAACTGTGAACTGACCAACTCCCAAGGTCCAAGGGTGAAATCCAGTAAAATGATGAATGTACACTATAGGCTGACAGGTTCCTGATTTCTGGATTTCTTTGTGTGATTAATGTGATACTGTGATTGTATCCATGTATGCCTGTATGTTACTATGTTTATAACTTATAAGGTATAAGTTTATGGATGTATGACCCTTAATAGTTAATTCCTTAAAGTCCCAATTATGAAATTTAGAAAAATGATGAAGTTAGGAAGTGCTTGTCTTCTGATTCTGGATTTCTCTAGTTCTCTCACTTCTCTGTGACTATCTGATTTTGTTCAATATGTTTAATGTTTCCCACTGACCACTATACTGATAGTATTCCATTTACTTAGATGGAAAATATCATAGAGTCTGGAAGTCAACCTTCTAAATCTTCAATTAATGGGTCTACAGTGGTGGAAGCCCAAACTGTTGACACAAATAATCAACAGAATGTGCAACCTACTACTGCAGTTCCTGAGAAAAAGAGGAAGATTGTTGAGTCCAGATCACTAGTGTGGGATCATTACGAAAAAATTAAGGATAGATGGTGTTACTATCAAAGGCAAGTGTATATATTGTGCCAAAATTTATCAATGTCAATCTAAAAAGCATGGTACTACCTCCTTGAGAAACCACATGTTTAGTTGTCTGAAAAACCCCCACTCTAAAGACACTAGACAATCACTGTTAACCTTTCAAGCTATTACAAATTCTGATGCATCTCCTGCTACTGTTGGTGAGTTAAGAACTTGGGTCTTTAACCAGGAAGCTATTAGGAGGGCCTTGGTTGAAATGATTATAATAGATGAACTGTCTTTTAGATTTGTGGAGGGTCCAGGGTTTAGGAAGTTCATTCTGGTGGCTTGTCCTAGGTTTAAGATTCCATCAAGATGGACAATTAGTAGGGACATCAATCTGATTTATGAAGAGGAAAGATTGAAGTTGAAATGTGTTTTTAGGGGGAACACTCAAAGAGTCAGTATTACAACTGACACTTGAACTTCTATTCAGAGAATTAACTACATGGTAGTGACTGCCCATTTTATAGATGAAGAGTGAAAGCTTCATAAGAAGATTATCTCATTTGTCCCTATTACATCACATAAGGGCGAGTCTGTTGCAAAAGTCCTTGAAACCTGTTTACTTGATTGGGGGATTAGGAATGTGTATAGTATAAGAGTAGACAATGCTTCATCTAACGACACTGCTATAGGTTTTTTAAAAAAGAAATTGATGTCTTGGGGAACATCTACTGTGAAGGGCAAGTATATTCACATGAGATGTATTGCCCATATTCTGAACCTTGTTGTCCAAGATGGCCTGAAACAATGTGATGCTTCTGTGAAGAAGGTAAGGGAGGCTGTAAGATATGTGAGGAGTTCACCTGCTAGAGTTAAGAAATTTAGGGACTTGGCTGAGTGGAATGGGATTGAACAAAAATCTTCTTTGTGTCTAGATGTTCCAACCAGATGGAACTCTACATATCTTATGTTACAATCTACAATTACATATGAGAAAGTGTTTGAGTCACTTGAAGAAAGTGATAGTTCCTTCAAATCAGATTTGTCTGATTCTGTTCCTAATTTTCTTGATTGGGAGTCTGTGAAGAGTTTGGTGGAGATCTTGAAATGTTTTTATGATATGACAATAAGAATTCCTGGTTCTTTATATGTCACTTCTAACACTTTCTTTTCTGAAATTTTTGATTTATACTGCCTCTTGAATGACATGGTGGAAGCTGGAGGGTCTGTGAAACTGATGGGAGAAAATATGAAGGCTAAATTTGAGAAATATTGGGGGGATATAGATAAAATGAACTTGATGGTATTCTTTGCAAACATTCTAGACTCCAGTGACAAGTTAGAGTACATGGCAACACAGATGAATCACATGTATGGTGAGGTAAAAGGTAAACCCTACTATGAGAAAGTGATTGCAGCCTTGAAAGAGTTGTTTAATGATTATGCCGCCTCTACTCCTGCTTCTTCCACTACTGGTTCTGTCAGTACTCCTACTGGTTTTTCACAGTCTACAGTTGGGAGGCCCCAACATTTGTTAAAGTCACAGATTAAGAAACAAAGATTGGAGAGTGGGGAATGAAAAAAGCAGAGTTAGAAATTTACCTTGCTGAGGCAATAGTTGAAGAGGAAACTTCTTTTGACATACTTAGATGGTGGAAGTTGAATGCTGAAAGGTTTCCTATCCTTTCTAAGATAGCTAGGGATGTTTTAGCTATACCAATATCTACTGTTGCCTCAGAATCTGCATTCAGTACATCTGGGAGGGTTTTGGATCCTTTTAGGAGTTCATTAACTCCTAAAATTGTGGAAGCTTTGGTCTATACTCAGGATTGGCTTAGGCTACCAAATACCCCCTATCAATTGAGGAAAATCTGGAGGAATTGGAGAGATTTGAACAAGGTAACACATTCTATTCTAATTTTTTTTTTTTTTTTTTTTTTTTTTACAATTTGTTATTTCCTTATAATTTTTACATTCTATTCTTTTCTTTTTTTTTTTTTGTTGCAGAAATTGGTACTGATGGTGGCAGTGGAACTGGAAGGAGTGGTGGTTCTACACTTGCTACAATTCCTGTAATGCTATGCTTTGTACTTTATACTTTATACTGTTGTTTCTGTTTGGATGTATTATGTAATACATTTATACTGTTTGCCTGTTATTCGTGAGGCTTGCTTGCAGCTGGCTTGGTAACTAATTTAATTAGTTGTTGCCAATTGCCATTGTAAGTTGTTACATTGTTGGTAAGTTGGCACATTTTACTATTTTAGTATGTTTTATACTTTTATTATTGTGGCCATGATGAAAGCTTCCACCAATGATCTGAAAAATAAGGGATTAAGCTGGTATGTTGCTCCATCCTCATGGGGATGTTGTAGCAATTTCCCCTTAATCCTAACTTTGATATGGATAAAAAGCTTACTAAGTCAAGTTTATAATTGTCTAATTATATTCTATTGCTCAATAATGCTATTGTTATTTGCTATTTGGCTTATTGCTAACTTTGCTTAAGTTTTGAGTGTTTACAGGAAGAAGAAGAACAATAGGAACTAGGAAGACTAGGAACTACATTGGAAATTCGAAAAGTAGTTTTTTGGCAGACTTCAGCTTTGTATGTACTTAGTAATTAGTATGTTTTTGCAGAAGCAGATCATCCAATGACAACTTATTGACTTAATTGCATATTCAGTAGTTTTTTTTGCATGTAATTGCAGTTAGAGTTATCCGTAATTGCATGTAAATGTGTAATATTGCAGATTCACAATTCACTGGAAAAGTAATTTTTGCATTGCATGTAATTTTGTAATATTTTTTTTAACTTTTTATATTTAAAGTGTTTTGTTCAATTATTTAGTTATTTCTTTAATTTCTTTAATATCCTACAATCTGAAATTAATTCGGATATCCGACCGAACCGATAATTACTAAAACCGAATAGATTTCTTAAATTATAGAATGAAATAGGGTTTACATAATAACATCCGAAATCCGAAAGGGTTGCCCATCCGCCCAACCGAACCGACTGATGCACCCCCCTAGTTTAGACATAGTAGAGAAAGTTAAAAAAAAAAAAAAAATTTTGAGGTTGGATTGTGGAATTTTAACTATTTATATTAAAAATCTACAACAATTCTAATTTGATAGTCTAAAAAATGAAAATATACACAATGAAATTTAAAATAAAAAAAAAAAAAAAAAGAGTTTTTCCCAAAATGGTCCCTTGACTATTTTCAAAATGGCCCCTCGACTATTTCTCAGTGTATATTAGGTGTACAATAGGTGAACGTACGAAAATACCCTCCATTTTAACACTGAGTTGACGAAAAACTTAACGGAGGACCAAATTGGGGGAGTTTTTGAAAGTCGAGGGACCAGATTTGGTGCAATTGAAAGTTGAAATGCAAAATTGAGAATGAGCAATAGTCGAGGGACCATTTTGGGAAAAAACTCTTTCGGTAATTAACTCTTCGGTATAATAAGAGAGAAAATTGTGCATGTGATGACGGAAACGCTTTCTTAACTATAACAAAATTATTAGTATGGTCTCCGATAAACAAATGTGCAGCTAAACAAACGGATGACCAAATTTGTTAAGATTTTTAAAATTAAGAGACTTAATTAAAACAAAAAAAAAAAATAAAAAAAATGCACCATTTGTTTGTTTCGCGCCTATATAGCAATAAGGATAAATAGTGGGGTGAAAACCTAAAACACCAAAAAGAAAACGAACTCGCACGAATCAAAACAAAAGCCGCAACCTTGCAGACTCGAAGCACAAACAGCGAGAGTAGCAGAATCAGAAAGCAGCCCAGCCATGGATTGTGCTCTGAGAACTCATAATCCCTCCGTAGCAATACAAAATTCTCTGATTTATCTCAAACCTCTATCGAAAGTTAGGGCTTTTACGGTCAAGTGCTCCTCTTCTTCCGCCGCTCCTTCTTCAGGTCCGTCGCAATCAGTAATTATTTCTCACATTTTTCTTACCTAATTTCATTTTCAAGTCATTTAATGTTCTCTCAATAACTAACAAAGATGGAAATGGCAAACCCAGTGCATTGGAATCTCATCATTTCTCGTTTCTTTTCTTAGTTGTGAGTGCATAAGTGCATTCTTTTTCACATTTTGTTGCTTAGGCACCGTGGCTTTATTTTCTGAGTATCAAATTTCCAACTTTTATTCATCAATACATCTTTATTTTCCTGGACCAACCTTCAGGTGTGGTAGAGAGGCCGTGGAAGGTGGCAGATGCACGACTTGTCCTTGAGGATGGTTCAATTTGGAGGGCGAAATCATTTGGTGCTTCTGGGACCCAAGTTGGCGAAGTGGTTTTCAATACATCTTTAACAGGGTTAGATGACTATGAAATCTTTACTATTAATACTTTAATTATAATAATTAAGAAAAAGTACAATTTTGAACTATCAAACACTATTGTTTTCGATAGGTTGCTTCCCTTCTTAAAGTAATTTCACAGTACTAGCTTCCTCTTGCTGTAGCGTAGAAAAGGCATTGAAAAATGAAGGACCTGGAGGGGGGAAGAGTAGCAAAAATGTCAAGTGACAAAACATAATATGTACTGAGAAGTTAAACTGTATGATTAGGTACTAGTTCAGTAGCTATATTTTTCGTCATAAGAATTTCTCAAGTTCTTGATTGGAAATGCTTTTTTCCTGGTGCTATTGCATTAAATAACCTGTGATAACCGGACTTTGGTTTTTCTTGATGTTTGGCATTAATACTGTGTAAAAGCTGCTGATTGTAGGTTGAAAACAATATCTTTTTCTTTGAGTTATGTTTTCGTTTTGCAGTGTGAGTTTATTAATCAATCCCTTTTATATTATATCTACAAAATTGCTCTTTTCCTACCTTTTTGGCCTTCTTTCCTTTCTTTTTGATGTGAGGACGCACATAAGGAACCACTAAATTTAAACCTTATTGTATGCAACCCATATGTTAGTGCTTTGTGCTTCCTGGTATTGCAGGTATCAGGAAATCCTTACAGACCCTAGTTACGCTGGCCAATTTGTCTTGATGACAAATCCTCACATTGGCAACACTGGTGTGAATTATGGTGTGTATTGTGTTTGCACATATCAATGTATTCTGTGTGTTTCAGTCATTGACCCTCTCTAAATCAGAATTCCTTCCTGAACAGATGACGAAGAATCTAGACAATGCTTTCTAGCAGGTTTAGTAATTAGAAGTTTGAGTATAAGGTGGGCTACGTTTTCCCTCAAGAACATAACATTTATGTTTGTGCATATGTGATTGTCATTGTTGTGGTGTTTAAACCATGACTACCGAATTTTCAGTACCTCAAATTGGAGATGCACAGAGACGCTTGGTGACTACTTGGCTTCTAGGAATATAATGGGAATATGTAAGTCAGAACCTGGGCATTACATTTTGTAGACAACTCTACAACATTCATATTGACATTGCTAGTGATGATGACCTAGCATTTAAAATCTGAATATTATATTTTTTTCCACCATGCATCAGATGATGTTGACACTCGTGCCATTACTCGGAGATTGAGGGAAGATGGAAGCCTTATTGGTGTTCTAACCACAGAGGAACATAAAACAGATGAGGAACTTCTGGAAATGTCCCGCACATGGGACATTGTCGGTAGGTATCTGCTCTTGGTTGTGGATGCTGTTGCAGAACGAACAGCTTTGCATTGTGAATAACAATTACCATTTCTTGCAATTTTGCAGGAGTGGATTTAATTAGTGGTGTTTCCTGTAAGGCCCCTTATGAATGGGTTGATAAAACTCGGTCAGCATGGGATTTTAACATTAATGGAAGAAGCCAAGAAACTTACAATGTCAGTACGGTGTATTATGTTATCTTTCTAAAGTTTACAGAAACACACTTGCTATTATACATCTTACTTAGCTATGCATCTTCTTGATGAAGGTGGTTGCATATGATTTTGGTATCAAGCAAAATATTCTAAGGAGATTAGCATCCTATGGCTGTAAAATCACTGTTGTTCCTTCAACATGGCCTGCATCTGAAACTTTGAAGATGAAACCTGATGGGGTCCTTTTCAGCAATGGTCCAGGGGACCCCTCTGCAGTTCCTTATGCTGTTGAAACGGTAAAAGAAATAATTGGAAAGGTTCCTGTCTTTGGCATTTGTATGGGCCATCAGTTGCTTGGCCAAGCTTTGGGGGGTAGAACATTTAAAATGAAGTTTGGTCACCATGGTGGGAATCATCCAGTTCGTAACCTTCGCAATGGCAGTGTTGAGATTAGCGCCCAGGTATGTTCATTTAGCAGATCTGACCTGAATCTTTGTCTTATAGACTTATACTGTATGTCTTTTTCAAGTTTTTTGGCTTAATTGAATAATGTCACTGATTAAAATTCGTCCAATCTAGAATTTTCCAGCTTCTCTGTTGTAATTACTTTATAAATGCATGGCATGCTAAGCTGCTCTATTTGTCCATATACTTATTTGCCAATGCAGAATCACAATTATGCTGTTGATCCCAAGTCACTTCCTGAAGGCGTAGAGGTAACGCATATCAATTTGAACGATGGAAGCTGTGCTGGTCTTGCCTTCCCCCAACAAAAGTTGATGGCACTGCAATACCATCCTGAGGCATCTCCCGGGCCTCATGACTCAGATAATGGTAATTCTTTCCTCACATAGCAGTCCATGTACAGTGTTACTTGTGTAGGGCTCATTATCAGCAAGATTTATACAGGATTTACCCGTGCACAGTATGCAGTAATACATCTGTATATTCTGAATCTAGCCCCTAAGAATGGAAATTCATTGCCCAGAAGCTTAGAATTCTGCATTCTCCACTAGGTGGTTTGCAGCATAATACAGAGGCATATAACCATCTTTGAGAATTATTATTATGTAGACTATATTAGTGTACTTGACTGAGCATATATATGATTGTACAACAGCTTTGGGTGAAATAGGCCTAGGCGCTAGTCGGGCGCCTAGGCGGCCGAGTAATAATAATAAGAAACACAGCACACCAAAAAAAAAAAAAAAACACTCGGTCAAGTTGGCCGACTCTGGTGCCTAGTTAGCCGACTAGGCCGCCTAGTCGGCCGGCCGACTAATGTCCGCCTTAAGGGTAAAATCCCTTAGGCCTAGGGGCACCTAGCACCTAATGAGCGCCTAGGTCGATTTTTGCAACAATACTAAATTCCATTAAAAATAAAACTGAAAAAGATTAAACTTGTGAAAGTGAGCAATACAGCATGTGATACACAGAATGAAAGAAGCACCAAATTATTGTTTGCTACTGAGCATTAAAGAGAAATTGTGGTTTTTGAGTATGGTAGTAAGTAGCTGATGTCATTTTCCAAATGATTTGCACTAAATATTGTCTCTAAACTGTTTTGGGTGTAGTATTTGGGGAGTTTGTACAACTAATGAAGAAAGAGAGAGGAAAGGCATGAGTAGTGGCATCTTAGCAGAGGAGCAGAGATTATTTTATCTATGCTAGCAAAGGAGCAACTGCAGATGAAGAAGATATCAGTTAGAAAGGATTGTTTTGTATGCCCCCAACATTTGTGTAACATTTTGCTATCCAATTTCCTATATTATGTTGTGTTCTATCAAATTATTAGGTTGAAACTCTGAATACTTCTTGCATTAGGCTATTCACATACTCTCACTTTTATAATATAAATTTGGCAAGCTTTAAACAAGTGGATACTTTTTCCTTTTTTAAATATGATGTGGCAATGCCACATGTTAATGCAATTTCATCCCTTTCACAATAAACAAGAGTCTTGGTATTGTTGTGGCGAGAAGCTTGATACCTAAGGAGTGCCATTCTTTTTTTTTTTTTTTTTTTTGGGATATATTACAAATTACATTGTAACAGAGTCATAGTATTCAAAAAAGGTATTCAAAAAAAAAAAAAAATCATTTTCATTGCTCCATCCATTTCATTTTACTTGTATTATTTTCTTTTTTTAGTTTGCCTCATAATATTGTCCACTTTCCTAAATTAAACAATACTAGCATTCTTTTTTTAAAAAAATTATCTTTTGTGTTTTTCATAATTATAATTGTACTTTGTACTGGATAGTATTTTTTTGAATACTACTGACTATGTTATAATGTAGTATCTGTTCATAACTACTTTATCAACCTACTAAAGTACAAAGAGTCAATATTGCTCCCACGGGAGATCGGACCCATTGGGATTCCCCTTCCTCGGATAATCTCCGTGGAGATGGTGATGGGGATGTGGAGGATTTTCGATTCCCCGGCAGGGATGTGACGGGGACAGGGAATGTGGGAGAAAGTCAAGGGTGGGAACGAGGAGTATGCCCCCCGCCCCACCTCGCCCCATTGATATTCCTACTTTACCCTACGCTTATACTCCATAATTTAGAGCATCCCCACCAATGGTTTTTGGTGGGGTTTTTAGAAAACAAGATAATGTGGAGGAGAGAAAAATAAAAACGCTCTTGCAAGGAGTTAGTTTTTAAAAGAAAAGTGAGTCTCACGTGGAGGTAGGAGGGCACGTCGGAACACGTGTCTAGCGCACCTTGCGCACTCAACGGGTGTGTAATAACTTCTGATTTTTATTTTTATTTTTTGGGGTTGGATTTTTTTTCTTTATTCTCTCCCTTCCTATCTTCTCTTTCCTACTCACACCTATAAAAACTCATCAAAAACCACAACGGTTAAAGATGCTCTTATTTTGATTCTCAAAATTTATCTTTTCTTTCTTGATGATATATATACTCTGGAAACATTACTCCACAGTCAAAACAAGAAAGAAAGCATAAATAAAATTAGCCAACAAAATCAACAATACTTTTTTTTTTTTTTTTTTTGGTATTGAAATGATTTCACTACACTAAAAAAAATTAATAAAGTTACAATGATAAATTACATATTTACCAAAATAAAAATAAAAATTACAAGAATAAAAGCTGCTTCTCAAAAATAAAATATCATAGCAATGATTAATTCATACAAAATCTTGAATGTTGGGTATGGGTACCAAAATTTCCATGCTGTGAAACCCTTTTCATGCTCTCTTAGTGGTACTCCAAAAACATTATGGAAATGAACTATGAATACATTACACCTAGATATTTAATTCCATCAATAAGATAACACACATTCCTTCACTAAAATACAAGAACTTCAAAATAAAAATCAAGTACATTAGTGTCAAAATAATAAAGTATGAATTATTACTGAATATAAAATGTACATCACAAAATCAACTACTTTTTCAAAGACTATCACAATCAACTACTTTTCCAAAGACTATCACTTAATACAAAATATGCAACAACATAGACTGTCTTTACAAAGATTAATGTTGAAGATTTGGAACTGTGCAACATCAAATATGACACTGCATTGTTCACAATGCGCCAAAAATAGTGATTTGCCATGTTGATTGGAGAAAATCAATGTCATTTTTTTTGCCATTTTATTGATATATAACATGTCCATTAGAAATGACCTAAGTTAAAGACAATTATTGTTTTATTTTCTTTGTTTCCTAAATGCCGTCAAACTCAAATAAAACATAGTATATTTTTGGATTGAGAGTGTATAATAAATTTCAACTCTTACTTTTTTGGGTACAAATCCTTAATACACATTTGGTTATAAAAATAAAGTAATATTTAAAGAACCAAGAAGATGAAAAAATGAACACTACACAATAACAAAATATGCAGTAATATATTTGATTTGAGGTTCATCAAGCAAACAAAGAAACATTGATACTGCAACAAAACCAAATTCTATTTGCGCATCTAACACTCCATTGATTTCTTGAAACCGAAACAAGTGTCTACTAATCGAAATCTAAGAAATGTCTAAACAAGGGGCAACCACCATGGAAGAAGTAATACTACAGATGAATCCTCCGATCTATAAATTTGCATACTGGCGATAAAATTAAGCCCTTTCACCTCTAATCCTTCTTGCAAGCTGAATGTCCTTGGGCATAATCGTAACCCTCTTGGCGTGAATCGCACACAGATTTGTATCTTCAAACAGCCCAACGAGGTACGCCTCCGCAGCCTCCTGCAAAGCTGCAACGGCGCTGCTTTGGAAGCGAAGATCAGTCTTGAAATCCTGAGCAATCTCCCTCACCAACCTCTGGAACGGCAACTTCCGGATCAACAGCTCAGTGCTCTTCTGGTACTTGCGGATCTCTCGAAGAGCGACAGTTCCCGGGCGGAAACGGTGGGGCTTCTTCACTCCTCCGGTGGCAGGGGCCGATTTCCTAGCGGCCTTGGTGGCCAGCTGCTTTCTCGGGGCCTTGCCGCCGGTAGATTTGCGAGCTGTCTGCTTGGTTCGTGCCATTGCTGCGATTGATTAGGGTTTTGGAGATTTGATATTTTGGGCTGAGAGATGGTTGAGAAACTTGGGATGTTGATGATTTTTATGGAGGAATTGCGAGGGAAAGTTCGTGCGAGTTTCAAATTTTGGATTTGAGGTTTTCTAGCGGGTGGATTTAGATCGTTAGATTTTTGTTTAGGAACGGTAGAGATTTCGTGGTTGGCAGAGCACACGGATCGCTGTTCTTGTCTAGTGGGCTTTAAAAAGTATTCGGCCCACACCAATATTTTCTGGCCCTTTGTACCCAGTTACAGGTCCACAATCGTTATACCCTACACCACGGCGCGCATAGCACTATGCGCCGCGCGCCTCCCAAAACGACGTCGTTTTGGGAGGCGCCGTAGGAAGTTGCTGTGATTATGTATATTTGTTCACACAATTATGTATATTTGTTCATATAATTATGTACATTTTTTATACAATTATGTACATTCTTTTTATACAATTATGTACATCCGAATCAGAAAATTTGTGTGTATTATGTTAAGAGTTGATGTGTATTATGTTAAAAGTTTATGTTTATTATGTTTTATGTTAGATTATGTGTATTATCTTTTAAAAGAGTATGTATATTTTGTTATATAATTATGTACATTCATGTATACAATTATGTGTATTCTAGTATAACATTATGTACATTTTTTAACATGGGTTTTTTTTTTTTTTAAAGAAAAATTAACTGCCATATACTGGGGCGGAAAATTTTTTTTAAAAAAAAAAAATTAAAACAACGTCGTTTTGCATTTGGGCGCACAGTGCAACACACGCCGTAGTGTAGGATATAAATTGCCATAGGTCCAATTGCAATAAAATTTTACACTAATGGGGATTAAAAATGATAAAAGTATAATTTCAATAAATTTTCACTTTTATTCCTATAATAACTTTTATATTCATGATGTTATAAATATTTATTATTTATTATGACCATTATCTCCACTATCTCATCATCTTCTTTCACTACCCCACCATTTTTGTAATTTATGATATTAATTGTAACAATTACCTTTGTATATATATTTATATGATACAATATTAATAGTAGAATCCTGGTGTTCCTGCATTTATGATGTTAATTGTAACAAACTAACAATTGCCTTTGTTCCTGCATAGTCAATATTATTTATAGTCCTTTAGCTTTGAATGATAAATACCATTGATATAAGAAAGCCTTGTAGCCTTGGAAAGGTTGGAAGTGCCAATCCACTTGCGAGCAAAATCCTCCTCTTTTTCCATGTGCGAACCAATTCTAGAGACCATGGATTGATAGTTATATAGTCTCCAAATCCTCCACGTTCGGGCTCCTTGTACTCGTGGTTGTCGAGCTCAAGCTCCTTGCGCTTGTGGTGGCCGAGCTCTCCCTCGACATGCTTCTGCTCATGTCCTCGGCCTAGGTCGCCTTTGGACTCCTCTAGTGCACCTCGCACTCACTTCGGCCGAGCTCGAGATCTCGGGCTCAATTTTGTGTAAGGAGATCGAACCTTAGATGATTTAGCTTGCGTCATGGACCCGTTTTTTTTTTTTTTTTTTTTTTTTTTTTTTTTTTTTATGTATGAGTTAGTCATTTTTTGGGAAGGTTTTAACCTCGGACCAAAAGACTATTCTGTTTGACGATAGGCTAAGTCGGGCCTCGTATCACCCCTAGGGCGTTAGCCATTTTTGCCAAGGTCATTTGACCTCGGGCCAAAAAAAAATCTTTTGTTCAGTGATAGGCAAGGTCAGGCCTTGTATCGCCCCTAGGGCGTTAGCCGTTTTGGCCAAGGTCATTCAACCTTAGCCCAAAAGACTCTTCCGTTCAGCGATTGGTGAGGTTGAGCCTCATACCACCCCTTGGGAGTTTAGTCGTTTTGGCCATGGTTGTGACAACCCAAAATTTATTTTCCCAAATTCTATTTTATAAATTCCAAAATAAATTATTTCCACTCCTACGTTAATTTCCAAATGGGTGTATGAATTAAATATTTTTAGTTCCTTTATTTTAATTAGTTCAACACCCAAAAATACTTATATTTTAAAAATCGTATCTATTGAGTATATTTATGTATCAAGTTTTGACTCAAAAAGTCAATCTGAGTTCCTATGAAACTGATTCAAGTATTTTGGCCTAGAAATATTCGTAAGATTGAACCCATTTCATTTCTAATAATTTATACATCCATTTTTAATCTAACTGACCCGACTTTTGAGCCAAAATTATAACCCGAGATTTTAAATCGCGAAATGACCTTTTTAACCCCTTTGGCTGAAAATTTCAGCACATTGCCTAGGGTTTTGAGCCCTACCTATTTAAACATCACTATTCCATTGCCTAGACTCAATCTCTCCCATTTGTTCTATCTCTCCAAACTTCTAGAGAATTTTCAAGAAGAAGAAAAAGAAGCTTTTGTAAGAAAATCATCTTGCCTCTATCTCCATCCATTTTCCTTCATCTATCTTCCTATGCTTTCATCTTCCATTCTCTTTTAGCCTATTCTTTTAGACTATAGTCATGTATGTGTATGTTTGTGTGATGTATTTGTCTATGTGTTCTTGTTGAGGAATCTAGGAGGTGAAGGTGGAAACCTGGATGAAGGAGAGGAGGGATTCATACTAGTGTCTAACAAGCTCAAGGTATAAATCATGGACTCCTAAAACCTATTATTTTGATATTGCGTTGTTATTGATGAGATAGATGTATTGTTGGTGTTTTGATGCCTAGAAATGTTGTAGGATATATGTTTATGTGTGTATTATGAGCTTGAGTTGCTATCTTGTTGTTCTTGAATGTTTGGAACTGTTTCGATGTTGATCTGGAAGTGGAATTTTGGTCTGCTGTGTGTCATTTCTGGGCTTACTGCTTGGGCACTGACCTTGCGGAACCACCAACGGACCCCGGAGGGATCCGCTGGTGTGTTCCGCCACCCAACGGAACAAGGTGGCGGACCCAGAGGGGCTCCGCCACCTAGCACCGTGGCTCGACGGAGCCAAGTGACGGAGCTCCTCAGGCTCCGTCACCTAGCTCCGTTGGGCAGTGCTGGAAGGGCAGGGCCCTTGTGGCTCAGCCCACTTTTGTTGTTTTGGACCGGGATTCGTGGGCCCTTGTGGCTAGGAAACTCGGCCTCGTAACGACACGTTAGTATGAAATGTGCCTATGTGATTTGTGAATAAACTCCACTTTTCCAAACCAAGCATGATTCATGATTTTACTAAGTGATTATCTTGTACTCTTAAGCATGAAAGTTGTGTACCATGTTGGACTTGAGTTATGAGATGAGTTGCTTAAATGTTCTAGTTGCATTATCTAGTTCATGAGTATTGAGATTGACATGATCTTATGATTTCATTTGCATATTGGTCTATTTCATAATCTTTGGTACATAAAACCATATTTTCATATTAAAAGCTTTTTCATCCTTTAGATGGCCTATATTATTGCCTTAGGATATTTTCAAAACCATATATGTATTTTGGAAAACCTATACCTATATGATTTTGAAAAGCTTGCATATCATTCTAATTGCCAATATGAAAAGAGAAGTTGCATGAGATATATGTATGCTATCGATATGAAGTGAGGAAAATCAGTTGTTTTGGAGGCTCCCGTTTTGGACTATGTCCTTTCGGATGAAAAGAGAAAAGATCGGTAAAGTCACCTACAAAACGAAGTAACTTAGATGTGGTTCCTGAGTTGCTAGGTTGGATACTACCCGCTGGGCTTGGAATCCCGGTTAGGGGGTGTGCACACTGAAGGTACGATACCTAATTCCACAGAGATATGAGTATGTTTGCTAGCCCGGATAGGTCTGTTCATGATTCGTGAAGTTCCTACCTCCCCACGAGTTTGAGGTTCTATAGGTACGGATGTGGCGGTTGTGTGGGAAGCACCGCCGCTAGGGTTTCGTTGCGACGGAGTACCTGCCTCATAGACCCAAATATGAAAGAAAGAAGAGAAAAGAGAATCACGAGATGTGATAGAGGTCCTCCGCAGAAAAGTACTATTACTATTATCGAGAGTATGAGTATCTACATATATATATATATATATATATATATATATATATATATATATATACACATCTATCGTATGGATTTTCACTATTGCATAGTATATGCCTTATGATGAGTATTTGAGAAGTGAAGCATGTTAAATTATTTGTACGTATTAGTATGATAGTATGATTCTTACTTGATACTTGAATCTCTTGCATAGTATTTATCTTAGAAGTATGTTGTTATTGCACATGTTGATGAGTATACATGCTTATATATATAATATCCTTACTTAGGATTTATTGTCGGTTTGTCTTATTGTCTATGTGTATACTCGTTGTATTTGAATGTCAACCATGTTCCAAAATCAATATCTATAGCAATGTTACAGGGTTGGGTGTTTATACTTATTCTAACGGATTTATTTTCCTATGTTGTTTTATAACCCTTTTAAGGTGATCTTGATGCATGACGAGAGCTCGCTTGTTAGTTGTAGAGTGTAGCTCTAGGGCTTAGTTGTTGTTAGCTCTAGTTATCCCTCCCTTTTTGGATGTAGTTTGACTACTTTGGTTTTGTGGTGCTTGGACACCAGGGATTTCATATCCCCCTTATGTTGATGTTTAGAGCTTTTGACTCTGGTTAGTTTGAGAGTTATTTAGCCTGTGCAGTTACTCGTGGGTGGGTAACTGTACGCGGCGGTGACACTTCTTTTTTATCATTGATTTTGGATTTATATTTATCCTGTTAATCCTTTCTTTTCCGCTGTTTTCTCCTTTTTAAAGTTAAGAAAAAGGGGGTGGTGTTACAATGGTCATTCGACCTTGGGCCAATAAGACTCTTCCATTCGGCGATAGGTGAGGTCGGACCTTGTACCATCTCTAGAGAGTTTGTGTGAGGTCGGTTAAGGATTTCTTAGGCCACTTCAACGGCCGACCTCCTTCCCAACCTCTCCTTTTTGGATAGTAAAATGAGTGCCATGACGAAATTTTGCTACTTTATTAAAGAACAATGGGCTTGAAGTGGTCGGACCACCTCATAAAGTGAAATTACTGAAAATACTTGAGCAAGTG